AATGAAAGCAAAACCTCCCATATGCTCCTTCTACCCATTCATTTGTTCATTTAGTTTTTGATCAAATATTTATTTGATATAATTCTATACAGTCATAGTTAGGTGGATTTTTATAATCGCGTGTGGGGGGAGACCAGCCTCTCATACTATCACGGGTTCAGTAGGCACAATTGTATGGTTATGATATATATAAGATTATAGTAAATTCATAGAAAATAGGAGAGATAGAAGAGAGAGTAAAATAAAGGAGTCAGACACATTTCATAGTAGCATGCTCACCTCAGCCCTTCTTGATGGTCCACATGGGGATGTGTGAGGAGGAGAGAGCAGGAGAGAGCGGGAAAGGGAAAGGGAGAGGGGAAGGAAGGTAGTCCTGAGGAGAGAGCCATTTGTTTCTAACCAAGGCTTATATATCTTTTGGGGGCATGCAAGCCCCCTAATTAAGGCAACCACATACACCATAGGAAGGGGTTGTACCACAGGCAATACAGCAGTGGGAGGGAGGACAATCTAGGGGTGTACATGCAATAGGAAGAGAAAGGATTAGGGATACACATGTGACAAGATGGGCAGATCTTAGATTCTTGGCGGAGGCCTGACCTTGACTGTTCTTGAGCTGGAGACATGATTTATTCTAAGCTTTCAGGGGAAGCAATTCTCTGTCCTTAACAGTAGGGAGTGAGCCCCACCTAACGTGGGCCAGACAATAAGGTTTGCTTGCTCTGGATGGCTGGTGCCTTCAGGGAGATAACTTGACAATCACCATTAGTTGCAAGCAGTGTTCTAGGTCTGACATATATTTGGGGGAGACAAGCTGGGGAAAAGTTTTTTATATCCCACAATCGCTTCATAATACTTGGATGTTTCAGTTGAGAAGTCACATGTAGAATGGTAGCCTTGCCAACAGGGAGGGAGTGTCGATGGTCAAGCAGGAGCCAGAGCTAACTACAGAGTCTTAATCCAGCTATTGACTTTACCATTAATCTTCTGTATTAGGGCTTAGAGACGCCTGATTTATTCTTCAGTAGATGAATGATTAGAAACCTTGGGTGTTTGGATATTACCTTAGCTCCTGAATGAAGAGTGTCCTTGTGTTTACCTGTTTAACAGGGTAATGCAATACATGGTAAAACTATCATGGCAGATAAGGATAAAAGCTGTAGTTTTCCTAGTAGCACGGAGTTTGCAAACTTTCCCCCCTCATTGAAGTGTATGGGATTTCACAGTGTTTTTTTTTTTACGAGGCAGGTGGAAAAATACAATGTGTCCTCTTATTCAACTCAATCAATATGTGACAATAAACGGGAGGGAATGAGTGAGCAAACCCAGAGTTACAGTAAGCAATTGGGAACTGTAACTGAAGAAAAAACTGAGGGTGTTTAAAACCTTCTGAAACATCCACTCAAGTGCGTTAGTACAATGATTTACATCCTAAATCTCTCCAGCCTTTCTTAAAAGTGAGTTAAAGTAAAACTGTGTTTAATAGCACTTGACAAAGGAGGGGGGCAACAAAACAAAAACCTACTTTATCCCTGCTTTTAATATTCCTTGGAGAAGAGAACAGAAGGAAATGATTTAAAAATTTAA